CTTGTTCATGGTTTTACAATTTTTCATTGTTGTCATTTCTCTAAAAATGTGTTTTTATTTGTATGTGTTTTAAGTAATATGTAAGTTTGTTATTAATCTTTTAGAAAATCTTTTACCTTGTGAAAATGTGAGGAAAATAGTATACCTGATTAGTGACACTTGAATAGAAAATGTGTGTTGCATGAATGTGGTTAGTTGCTTGTTTGTTTAATTATGGTAACGCATACCTGAAACTGTGGATATAAAATATATGACGTGTTATTTGTGTAATTTATATTAATGCAGTGAAATTTGATTGATAAATTGTACATTTTAAGGCATTATCAATATCGAGTTGTAACGCAAGTTTCTTACCACTGCAAATATTGTCTGCATAAACAGTTCACGTTGGCATGTTTAATCATATTTTGTCAATTGAAAGAAAGGGATTTGCGCTAGAACACTGTGCTGTGAAATTTGTTTAAAATATCATTGTCTGAAATGGAACTATCACACTACCGAAAACCATCATTTACTTCCAGTTCTGTTGCAAAATGTCAGCTACCAAATGGCATCAAATCATGTGTGCAGCTTAGGTACTAATCTTGTATCATATGCCATTGTGAAGGTTTGGTACCAAAAGTTCAGAAACGAGGATTATGACATTCAACCAGCAAAGGTCGCTGGCCTGCCTACTGATGTTGATGAGGCCTGCCTGCGAGAACTTGTGGAAGATCAGTATGCAACCACTCGAGAGCTTGCTAAGGAGTTGGTCATTAGTGCCATGTCTACTATTCCTACTGTGCATCGCATAAACTTAACGTACAAGTTTAAGTTCAAACGTAACCTACAAGTCCTTATCAAGTCAGCACATGCTGGGTGCCACATGAGCTGACTCGGACAGATAAGACGGATGCATCTGGGCCTGCACTAATCTGCTTGAATATCAATGCAAGGACAAAATTCTGGATTGGATCATCACTTGTAATGAAAAGTGGATTTACTTCAACAATGCAAGCTGAAAAGAGTGTTGGTCTGCACCCAGTGAGCCCATAGGCAAGCATCGCAAAGCACAATTTGACTAACAAAGAGATCATTCTTTGTATCTGGTGGGATTGCCATATTAATAATACACAAAGAGTATCTGGGAGAAAAGTAAAACCCTTGTTAGTAAGGTGTATAGCAAGATGGTAGTCCGTGTTGATGCTGCTATTGAGGAAAAATGTTGAACTGAGTTTCAACGCAAAAAGGTAATTTTCCGTCAAGGTAATGCAAGATGAAATGTGTCTGCATTCACTGGCTGGAATCTATACAGACTCAAATGGAATCTTTTGCCACACCCATCATACAGTTGCTCCTTCAAACTTTTACCTTTTTTCACACCTACAGCTATATCATGCTGGTGTTATCTTCCATTCTGCGCATATGGACTCGTGACCACCAAGTTTCTGGGTAGAAGGCTTTGAAAAACTACCAAAACTTGGCAGAAAATCATAGATTTAGGTGGTGATTATTAGCCGCACTAAAGGTACTGCTTTCGTTTTTTTTTTTTTTTTTTCCCTAACTTTATTAAGAAAATTTTTTGGCAGAGAACTATTGGTACAACCAGATATTGAAGGAAATAATAAATTGTACTGCATGTTGCTGAAACATTTATTTGTTTTACATGTATAAAGGGTTTGGGTATCTAGGGGTTTTCCCAAGCTTAATGCAGAACTTAATGTTCACAATCAGTATCCATTGTGTCACCTTAATGAGTGTGACAACATTCCGAACAGTGTGTTGCTAACTACAGCCCTACTTAAGCCTAGTAAGTTTGTGTGTAAACAAGACCATGTCAAGTAAGAATATATACCAGGTAACATAAAAACATTTGTTTCTTTTTAATACTGCAAACTCAAATAAAAGGTATTGTCCTGGAACGTTTTTGACAAAGGATGTACATACATGAAATATTTGAAAATGTAGCAATAAGCTTTATATTTTTAAACTTATTAAGCTTTACATTTTGAGCTTCTTTTCTGAAATATAAGCTCAATAACAAGATAGGCAATTTAATAAAAATGATTTCATCAGTGTAAAGAAAAATATTCTGTAAACACAAAATCTGACTTTATATATGGCCTCATTTCCATATATAAAGTCAAGAATTCCATTTAGTGAAATGTTTTTACGGTTTAATAAATGTAAAAATTTTGTATATAATGAATTTGTGTTTTCAAAATATGCAAAGGTATGAGTATTTCCTATTTTTATACAGTCAGCTAAAAATTTGTGCTGTTACCAGTATAGGAACCATTTATTACCAAAATAACGTAAGGCTCATCATAGCATCTTCGAGAATTCTCTGCCAACATCCATCTATGTCATGATAGGAAAGTCTTTTTCTTCACGCGTCACACGCAGGATGAGGTTATTAGCCCAGGGTCCTGTTTTCCCCTGAGCCTCCAAATCCACGAACCCATAGAAAGTAACAATATTATAATCTTAGAAAGCATCAAGGATGTAACACACTGACTGTAACAATTTAAACACTCTGAATGATGAACTTTTGTTGTTTGTAGTTTGCTGTTCATAAATGGGTATTTGTAATATGATTCATGTTCATAAATTAGTCCTTGAATATTTTTGCCCTTTGTGTTTATTTAAGTGGCCAAAAATGAACATTTTTACTAGATGGAATTCATGTTCTAGTTAAATTTTATATACATAAGTCTTTTGCACTCAGTATTAAGAGTTTTTACAAAATTATCTACTTTATGAGAAATTACAAAATTATAGTTGCATGTATAGGATCAGTAGTTAAAGAAATAAAACTTGCAGTCATCTTTTAACCCTGTGTGTGTGTTTATTGATTGACAAAAAAGTATAGAGGAATGGAAAGTTCTAATTGAAACAACTTTCTGGACTGATTTCTCATATAGAATGGTAAACAGTTTTATTTAATTAATTTATTTAATAATGACAAAGCACTTGAGGGCTATCTGCCTAAGGGATGCCTTAATGAAGGACTTTTTAAGGGAAAGTGGCTTATATTATGAATGGGGAAAACTCATGCAGCCACCCCATTTCCTGGTATTTGAACCCTGGGGCAAACTAGCAATGTTCAGCGACTTTACTGCCCACCCATTCGTGAACCTAAGCAGTTTTAATAAAGATATGACCTGAAATTTTTTGGTTAAATTACAACATTTAGTGGAGCTGTAGCATCGCCAAACTGACATAATAATTTGGCTGCATTAATGTGTAATACTTTCATCATTCAGCGTGTTTAAATTGTTACAGTCAGTGTGTTACATCTTTGATGCTTTCTAAGATTATAATATTGTTACTTTCTATGGGTTCATGGATTTGGAGGCTCAGGGGAAAACAGGACCCTGGGCTAATAACCTCATCCTGCGTGTGACGCATGAAGAAAAAGACTTTCCTATCATGACATAGATGGATGTTGGCAGAGAATTCCAGAAGAGAATGATCCAGAAGATGCTATGATGAGCCTTACGTATAAACACATTCGGAGCTACTCCGACTAAGTAAGAAAATTGTCATTTCGCTGCTGTATGGATGGAGGAAGGTAGAAATGGAAACGTGAGATCAAAGAATTTAGCTGCGTGAATTTTCTGCAATCTTATTGGTCCGTTGTAGGAGGGGTGAATGTACTTTTCTAATTTTCTGATTCAGCAAAATTTATGAGGAGCATAGCTGCCTGAAAACCTGTCTAATTTCTCTGCTGAACTTTTCGCAGCTCTGATTTGTTCTATGCACGAAATGATTAAGGTTAGAAATGCATTGATCTCGTCATCTTGAATCCATGCTATACCGTCGTTTATGTCCTTCGGGGGGGGGGGGCGTAATTTTACATTTCAGTTTCTCACTATAAGTAGCTTGGGGTGGATTTTACAGCCCAGGGAACTTAGTAGCCTTTGATCTAGGAAAATTTTCCTCCATGAATTCTGGGTCTTTAGGCTGAAGTGGGCTGCTTTTCTTTTCAAATCTCTTTTTGTACTTGCTGCATCCTCTATAGCTACTGATGTGTTGTGGATTTGGAGTGATTGAGGGAGAATCAAAACACAATTTATTCTTCATTACTACACAGGACAGGTCCAAAGACGCATTACACTCATCGAAAAACTATGACAAACACGCTAAAACAATCAGCAACATAGCCTTCAGGCTGTAATGGTTCACAGCAAAGCACTAAAGTACAGCTCTCGACTCGGTCGATCGCTCTCGATCTAATCTCTGAACTCAAGACACTACTACTGAATTAAACATACTCTCGATACTCTATCTCGCATACAGGCAGGGTTTATATAGCCTTTGACCTACCAAATGAGTGATTTCTCGCCTTTTTCTGGCAACCCTAAATCCACTCACCAAAACTCTTGGCAGCTTGGCTATATCTTGCCAAATTAGCAAGCAATTTAACATTTACTCAATGTTAAATATGCTCGTCCCTGTATTCTTTCCTTATTTTCCCAGTACAGCATTATTTCCTTCATCGTTTCACGTTACATTATACAGAAAATAAAAGTTTGCTAAAATGATGATCTGTCTTTTGTTCGGAATTTGTGACAGTATTAATTCCCAGGCATTCAAATTTTTTTATTTTTATTTCAGTCATCCTATTTCAAGTACTTTTTTGTAATTTTAAACCTGTATGTTAAACAGAATTTACCATAGTAGTACTGTATCAACTCTATGATTTATTTATTATGCCTCTGTGATTTTACCTAACATTATCTTATGTGCATGTGTGCATTTGGCTAGAAAAAAATTTGTCTTTTTTCTTGAAATGTTCTGTCTTTTTATCTAACATGCCATATTTACTATAATAATTTATGTTGTAAAATATAATCCTTATTCAGCATGTAGATAATAAACTTTATTTTGTATATAAAATTTTTATTTCTAAATAAACTAATGCTTAGATTCATTAGTGTCTTAAAAGTTGGTCAAAATCACTAAATTTTTATTTTACTGTTAAATATATAAGATAGCTAAGCTAATTATTTTTTCAGGTTGTAGTTCTAATTGCTCTTGTTCTTAATGGTGCCAACTTGTATGGTTATTTACGTTGTAAAGTTGGTGGGTCAGAAAATTTTACATCTGCAGTATCGAATATGATGGGTCGCCAAGTGATAAGTAATGTAAGTATCTGAAAACTGTGAAGAATCATTCCCCCCTTCTCTTACTTCATGTTTTAAACAATCTGTCCTTAAATCTTTGAAAATGTTTGCTTTTATTTTACAAAATAAATTTGTGTAAAAATTATTTTATTCATATTTGTTATATATGAATATTCTATACATGCATGTCTATTGAAACGGTAATGTTCCATAAAATTTTGTTAGTTATTAATATATTTATAATATTATATGTTATTGTTAGTTATTAATAATATTATAATATTATTAATAAACTAACAAAATTTTATGGAACATTACCGTTTCAATAGACATACATGTATAGAATATTCATATATAACAAATATGAATAAAATAATTTTTTAATAATATTTATAATATTATTAATTGTTAATAATATTTTTTAATTAGCTATTAATTTCATTTTGGCATTTTGTGGTATTTCACTTTTCAAATTGTAGCCTCCAAATATTGTCGCCGTGTATTATATTTAAAGAAATTAAATAAGGAAGAATCTGCATAAATGTATGTATGTTTCTCACATTGTGATAAAACAACGGTACATAGAGCCATCAAATTTTGAATAATGTAGGTCTCTACCCGAGTATGGGCGTCTGAAAGTCCAAATTTGGAATTTGTTTTATTATCTATTTCAAATTTTGTAAAGCATTTATGAGTTTTTGATTAAGAAATTCTATGATTTCAAGGCGAGCAATGGCAACACTGTACAGGTGAGGGGGGGACATTTTTATCATCAGCACGCTAGACTATATTAGGCTTTTAAAATTATTTTGTGATATTCTGTTGAATTGAATTTTATGTTTTAAGTGCGAAGGACATGATATTTAATGTATAAAGGTAACACACAAATTGTTAAAAAAAGTCCCTTTGGGTGTAATATAAAATCTGAAAACTTTCAGATTTTATTTATATTGCATTTTTGTTAATTAATTGTTTATAATATTAATTAGTTTAATTTTTTCCATCCAAAATTAAGGCAATTCCAGTATTTAAATTCAAAATTTTTGAAATAGAGTATTTAAAAAAGGTGGCAATATGTATTTATTAATTTATTTTCATTTTTATTTATTCATTTTTTCATCATATGTCTGTTAATTTTTATTCTTTCAAGTTTGTTAAAAATTGGGCTTTTGGTATTTTATAATATAATTGAGCCTATAATTATTATTTTTAAATTATTAAGAGGCCATCAAATTTCAAAGATGACCTTTATAATTTTTGCCTAGATAGATTTTGCCAGTAATTTGTTTTTGCCAATTTCAGAATTCAGTATTAATTGCTGAATATACCAAAAAAAAAATTGGTAGCCAGATATGCCAGAAAAGATGAATAATATTTAATTATGAAATATTTAGCACATTAATATAGAAATTATTAATCCTGGAGCAGTTGTTCCAAAATATTTAGTCCATGTAGTTTTTTGTGCTGAAAATTGTTGTAAAGTGAAATAATAATTTATGTATCAAATATTTTATATAAGAAAGAAAAATAGGAAAACATTCTTTTGTATACTGCATATAAAAAGCACAAACAAAAATTCTGCAACATATTTTATAAAATTTAGTTAAGCTTATAAACGTTTGATTATGAATGTACTCTTTAAGACCAGTTATTTGAGTTTTTACTCTTTTTATTAATGCCTTCAGAGAATAAATCTTTGTTATTCTTTGTGATATAATATTCAGGTCCTTTAATGCCATTAGTACCTTTTGCTAAGGAACTGCACACAGATATTTCATTGATGCTTATTGTAATTATGTTTCTGTTCAACCCCCCTCTCCATGTCATAAGTTGTTGGCTAGACCCGCAAAATAAAAATGATATATTTTAGTTTACTCATTTGAGTTGCCTGTTTAATGCACTGGTTAAAGGAAATTTACTCTCATGGTGATGAGTATGGATTCAAATTTCAAATAAAGTATAAATGTTTATATTCTTTCTTGCTCCCTCTCTTTCAATATTGCTTTATCCCAAGCTATCCTGCCACAGATGAAGCATTGAAATGATTGATGTGTTTTGCAGAAATTGTTCATAGAATAGATGGGTAGATTGATAAATATCTGAAAAGATAAATGACAGATTTTGTAAAAAAAAAAAATCATAAAATTGAATGTAATGTGGAATAACGCCACATTAAAGTGAAAGAATTGATGATGATAATTGCCTTTCCCCCCAAAAAAAACTGCAGATAACAGATAAATGTAGCATATGTAAAGTAATATTAATTAAATTAATTAATAAAAGAAAATGTAAAAATTTGTTCTTGTTTATTATTACTCCTTAGATAACATCTGTCATCCAGTTAAACAGAATGCCTGTAAATCTTTCACAGTAAGCGAAAGGGTATTTCAAGCGAAAAGTTCTTAAAAGTATTCATGGTTAAATTAAATGGTGTACGTGTAAAGAAAGGTATGAGTTACATTGTATGATCCTGTACAGTTACTGCAGGGTTAAATATTATGCAGGTACTAGAGGGAATGAAAAAATGTCTGCTCCAGTAGTATATATGATAACATAAATATAAAATAATTTGATTATTAAACAGGGTTCGTAGCGGCCCTTACAAGTCCTTATATTTGAAAATAAAATACAAAAACCCTTATAGGTGCTTACTTTTTCTCTAAAGCACTTATATTTTGTGCTTTTAGTGCTTTTTTTTTTTTATGAATGGGCATTTTTTTTCCCTGCACCAAAGCCAAAACTAAATAAACAGCTTTTCTTCTTTATATAGAATGTCAAATGGTGAATTATACTCCCAGAAATAGCTGTGATGAACCTGCATTTATCCATGGCGGCCCGTAGAGCTAACACAAAACCATCCGATGGTTAAGTTTTTCTAATGCTATTTATTATTTGTTATATTTACATATTTACAACTGTCCTATTGTTAGGCGGACTACCTTCACAGAAATCATGTTGCCTAATCACGATATTTCGTTTCTACTTGCATGCATTACGCTACTGCCAAGCAGCGCCCTCTACTTCTCTCTTTACAACACTCCTCACCTGTGAACTCAAAGTTCACACAAACCGAATACAAATAAACCAGTATTTCTAAATCAAACACAACATTTGAATACTCTATAAACTACATCAAATTACAAATAACAATTAAGTAATGTTTAAACACATTAAATCAACTTATAAAGTAATTACTAAATAAGAAACATTATACTAAATCAAAATTCGCAATAATTATATAAACTAAACTACATTTAGCAACAATCAATAAAGATACTCAGAAGATGACATATGTGCAAACAATAAATTAGATTATTACACAGTAACTCTTTACTACTAATTATGCACTTCAAGGTTGTACAGCAATTGTACTGGTCTCTTTAGATTACCTGTTAGAGTTTTTATTAGACAAGAGCGAACCTGACCATCTCTGCCAGGATAAGTTTCTATTATCTTACCTAGTGTCCACAAATTCCTAGGTAAACGGTCGTCATGTACAAGGACTACGTCATTAACATTAAACTGACCAGACACTTTAGTAGGTGGACATAAATTCACAGATCTTAAAGAAAGCAAGTAATCCTTCCTTCACCTATTCCAAAAATGGTTTAACAAGGTTTGTTGATGTTTATACCTTTTGATCAAGGAATGTCTAGACCCAATCAAGTCTTCTCTGCACACTCTTGTAACTGGAAGAGAAAGTAAACGTTTACCAATTAAAAAATGAGCAGGAGTTAGCGGTGAGGGTTCTGAAGGGTCATTGTAGACATACGTTATGGGCCTTGAATTAATTATGGCTTCGATTTCTACGAAGACTGTTTCTAGCTCATTCAAACAGAGACTAGAACGTCCAACTATTTTCCTTAAACAAGTTTTGATCGTTCTAAAATGCCTTTCCCAGAACCCTCCCCACCATGCTCCTTTTTCCACAATAAACTTCCATGTTATACCGTGGGAAGAAAAAAACAAATTTTGTACAGATGGATGTTGAATACACTTCCAAATTTTTCGCAACTCGAGATCAGCACATTTGAATGTCTTGGCATTGTCCGAATATATCGTTGAGCACAATCCACGACGAGAAATAAACCTGCGAAACGCAAGCATAAAATTCTCCACGCTCATAGAAGGGACAAGTTCTAGATGTAAAGCTCGAGTTGTAGCACATGTAAACAAAAGCAGATAATGTTTATTCTTGCTGTCCTTTGTAAAGAAGGGACCAGCATAATCCAGCCCTGTTACAGAAAATGGAGATGATTGAAGAACACGATCAGGTGGTAAAGGAGCGGTTTCCTGTGTACCGGCACGCACCTTGTATCGTTTACACAAAAAGCACTTACTTAACGTGGACTTGACGAATTGGCGTCCTTTTATGATCCAAAACTTTTCTCTAATATCGGCTAAGGTAGCTTCGACTCCAGCATGAAACAATTTGTTATGAGACTCAAAAATTACTAGTTCACTGTATCTATCTTTATAAGGTAACAGCCATGGGTGTTTTTCTTCGAAAGCAAAGTCTGAGAATTGAAGTCTGCCCTTTAAACGCAGAAGACCATGGGTATCCAACTCTGGGTTAAGTGAATAAATCGACGATGTCTTTTCTAAGCATTTTTCACTTGATAGATCTAGAATCTCTCTCACAAAGTATTTTCGCTGTGTAACTTTTACCCAATAGAGCTCAGCTCGCGAAATCTCAACAGAGCTTAATGGACCTTTGACTTTCACTAAATTTCATTTTATATTGTTGGCAAACCGCATAACATAAGCCGTAATTCGATACACCTTCAGCAGCCTGCTGAATCGCGTTAACTCTAGTAATGCCGAAGATTCTACGTCTTGAACAGAAACATGAAGAGATGTTTGCACCCTTGCTTCGTTCTGAACGCTCTCCTCGTCGATGTTGGTCTGTTGATTTACTGGCCAAACACTTTCAGGTTGAGACAGCCAGCTAGGTCCCTGTAACCAAAGGGAACTTCTCACAAGATTAAAGGCATTTTCTCCTCGAGATAAAAGGTCAGCAG